TGAAATACTTTGCTCATAAATTGTGCTTCTTAATTGCTCATGTACTACATCGATCGATAGTTCACGAAGCAGCCACGGCGTTCCAAACCTGACGCTCATAGTCATCTTTTCAGTCTTTTAGTGTGAACCTTCCGTGAACGGCGTGTCAGTTTGAATGCAACGCGAGCATTTCTCTGAGTTTCCCAGCGCCAACATCATCTAATTGACTTAAACTCGAACAATAAAACAATTATAGAGTTACTCCCATGGTCGAATAGTTTCGAACAACGCAAATAGCCTTCTTCAGGTTCGCAACGCCTTGTGGGTTTTTCAGGGGGAGCGCAGACAAGGTGCAAAAAGTATCCGTGCAAGGGATAATGCAAGAGAAAACCCTATGAAACCATTTGTGAGAACATCGTTTCTACGTACCAGACCCTCGTGTTTTCCCTCCCCCGGATGACCACTTTGTGACACCGACGACCGAAAACCCATTTTATGACTGGGCTTGCCAGGCAGCCCAGTAAAAAGTTCTACTTTCACAATCGGTCGGCATTATATCAGAACAGCAAACGAAACGAACAAAACTCACGCTACAGCCCTCCCCTAGTTGGGAAGTCAAATGGTACAATAGCCTCCCCCGCAGACTTCCCCAGACATTCTTAGGGGTGCGTCACACGTTCCTTGTCCAACTGATATTTGTGAACAATGGGAAAGGAATTTCCCGCTCAGATCAGCAGACGTTCGTGGGGAAGGAACGCGTGACGCACCCCTGAGAATGTCTGCGGGGGAGGCTAATGGCACGATCAACGCACTTTGATTGGAAGAAATAAAAGGTGAGAGGACCAAACTATTTATCGGTGACGTCACAGCTCACGATTGACCGCTCCGAGAACGCCAAAGGACTAGGCTGCTTCTTACGTAAACGCATCCTTTTCTAAAAGTGCTTATTTTGAGTCAAGAATTTCATAAAAGTAAGAAGAAAAAAAATTGTGCTGAACAGCAAAACCCTCCCCGTGTCTAGCCTGCGAGTCAGGTCTCTCACTGCCCCACCCCACCCAACCTTTCCCCCAATCCCAATAATATGCTTCCAGCGTCTTTTTATAATGCTAATACTCAGGCTGTGTTAAATATCACCGATATTTACAATTTAAAACAGCTTATTACTGAGCCAACAAGAATTACGCCTTTGAGTAGCACCCTAATCGATGTTAGTTTTACTAATCTTCCAGACAATACTACTTGTTCTGGGGTGTCTCATATTGGAATTAGCGATCACAGTTTGATCTAGGTCTACTGCAAGATTTCGTCACCTTCTGTTATCAAGGGAACTAGCACTATTACATATAGACGATTTAAGAATTTCAATCGTAATAGCTTTCGCTCTGACATTTTAGCCCAACCATGGAACGATCTCAACGGAGTACATAACTCTGGTTACGTCTCACTTACGTAAATTATGCATGAAGAAAGCCACTGGACTTGATTCAGTTTCAGCCAGACCTCTGAGAGAATGCTTCGATCTAATTTCTGACTCTCTAGCACTCATTTTCAATCCATCGATTGAAACAAGTATTTTTCCCGATGAATGGAACAGCGCTACGAAAGCCTACGATCACTCCTCTCTACAAGAAATGTGGCAATAGAAGCGATCCCTCAAATTACCGGCCGATTTCGATCATTAGTGTAGTGGCTAAAGTTTTCGACCGGATTGTTTATGATCAGCTATATCGTTTTCTAACCGAAAACAAACTTCTCTGTTGTTACCAATCTGGTTTTCGCACACTCCACTCCACAGTTACTCAGGTTACTGCACTGATCGAAGCCACAGATAGCTGGTCTTTGAACGTCGACCGCAGCTTTGTCAATGCAGTTGTCTTCTCAGACCTTAAAAAGGCTTTCGATACGGTAAACCATGCTATTCTTCTTTCAAAACTTCAAGCGTATGGTATCCATGATCCTGCTAATCAATCGTTCTGTTCTTATTTGAGAAATCGTATGCGAACGTGTCTCGTTAATTGCAACAAGTCATCTGAAACGTACCTACCCTGTTGTGTCCCGCAGGGAACGATTTTGGGGCCTCTTTTGTTTTTACTATATATAAATGACCTTCCGAATTGCCTCACCCATTAACAACCTACAATGTATGCTGACGACACTAGTATCACCTATGCGAGCAATGATGTTGAAGAATGGAGCGTTGTGTTAACATAGATTTAGATAGAATTTCCATATGGCTTGCAGCGAACAAACTTAGACTAAACACGACTAAGCCAAAATTTTTATTAACTGGGTCTAGGCAAAGACTGTCAACGCTGGAAAGGAATCCCGTAAATGAAATTAACCAGTTTCCGATTAAACAAGGGTCGACTTCAAAATCCCTAGGTGTTCACATCGATGGAAATCTTTCTTGGGAGTGTCATATTAACGAAAACTCTAAGAACGTTGCTTCTGGCATAACTGCGATTAAGCGTATTAGGTATTTTCTCCCTTTTGAGATTCTACTTAACGTCTACAATTCACTGGTACAGCCAAACTTTGATTACTGTAATGTAGTATGGGGAAACTGTTCTACGAACCTATCTTCTAAATTCCAGAAATTGCAGAATCTATGATATTCTCTAATTATGACTGCAGTACTAGTAAATTATTGCAAAATTTAAAGTGGTCGAAACCTGTCTATCAGCGAGTAGTTAGTAAAGCAATAACGATGCATAGCATTGTAAATAAGACAGCTCCAGAATTTCTGACTTCGCGTTTTGTTCGTCGCTGCGATTTAACTAGTTATAACCTTAGAGAGAATGAATAGAAGCTCGCTGATGTACAACCCTGTAATGAATTTTACAAAAGAAGTCTTTCTTACAGCGGAAGTGTGTTATGGAACAGCTTCCCTCTGGAGGTGCGGCAATTGACATCCCCTAATATATTTAAGGGAAAATGAGTAGACATAACTTACGATTGACAAATAATTTATTTACCGATACGCTGTTTTTACACAAGGCGTCCTTAAAAAGATTAGTTAGGTAGATAGTTTTTCTATACTTGAATGTAAATGTACCTGAAGAAAATACCATGTATAAATAAAGTTACAATACCATACCTTACCCCTCTACCTATCCACATATCTAAGTATCTACCTAACCCTCTACCTACCCATCTACCAATCAACCAACCCCCTACCGTCTGCCCTCCTCTTCGTGCCCTCCCCTTGGACCGCCCCAGGGCCAGTATACCAACTATTGCTTCCCATAACCAACCCAGGGCCTTTTTTCTTCACTCTCCTCGCCCCAAGCCCTTCCAGATGCAAGCCGCGCTTTTCTTCTTTTTTTTCCTTTTTTATGCTAATCAGGCGGGACTCAAACCCGTCACCTCTTTGTTTCCCAATTAATTACCAATTCAATGCTTATGCCAATTGCTCTATCCCAGCTCAGTTACAAATTCAACAGTTTTATTGTATGTTAATCATATCCAAATCAAATTCTTGCTCCTCATTGGCTGTTAAAAATAATGACATCATGAACCTTCGGCCCAGATGTCCCTGAGGTCCCACAGGTCCAAGAACCAAAACAAACCAACGTTTACCAAACATAACGGAAACTGTAGCCTTCTCGGCTTTGCAAGCTCGTACATTTAAAAAAGCACTTAGCGCTTTCACGTTTTTCCGACGGGCAATTTTGATTTTAGCTGTAAGTTTTGTATAATATTGAAATACTTGAAATGTCCGTCGGTGCGTTTGCTTTCAATTGTGATCACAAGAACCAGTTTCTGTACGGTTAACAGTGATCAACATCAATTTACATTCTCGCTATATATCCTACCACTGAACAGTATCAATCATAAACGGCTGAAAAACATTGAGGAAACATTGTGATTTCTAATCAAATTCTCCTCGTTAGCACCAGTTGAACGGTAACGGAATGAGTATGGAGAATGTGCATGTTAATCTCACGCCATTTACAATTATTCCTGTAACAAGCAAAATTGATCTTATAAATGAAAAACGCGAAGGTTATGTCGCTTTTAATAGATTTGGAGCCAGCAATATGACCCTTTGAAAACAAGAAACACTGCGTTCTTGTCTAACTAGGCAACTACAGTACCCTAGTCTGAATCTCGTACCCTTATAACTGCAATAGGAAATCTGCAAGTAGCACTGTAAATCATGCTAAACTGCTACCGATGCGACCGAAAACGTGTAATAGAATCATGAAATCAGCCTGAAAGATCAAAACAAGGTGATATCCTGCGTGTCCTACGGCAGGTGAAAGACGTTTTTTCCAGAATGAAATATACTTAAATCCTCTTATTTGAGACATCACAAGAGTCCCAGGGACATTTCCAGGAGGTCTCCATCAGTTTCGAACTTGACCCAAAAGTCACTTGACAAGATGAAACAAACAAACATTGTTTGCCCGGCCTATTGACGTTTAGAAATTCCATCAGGTCGTGTTTCTTTGGCAGGCTTGGTTAATTCAAGCTATTTCCAATCCAGTCTTAAAATCAGGCTGTTAAATGTCGCCAAGGTCCACGACCAATAAAGAAAATTCTCCAACTTCAGACGAAGAGCAGTTTGGAACTTCATGGTCTGTTTATCCACTGCATTAAAGAAAAGGAAAGTACTATAAGTAGACTAACTCGCGAAGTTGAATGTGCGAAAAAGCGTCCTGTGGGTCTCAAAGTGTGGAGAAGTTGATACCAAGTAATTACAACTGTATAATTATAATTTTCGCTTGTTTCTTCGCACACGTCTTTTTTTTTCCCGTTTTTTTTCTTACGTGAATGCATCCTTTTCTAAAAGTGCCTATTTTGAGTCAAGAATTTCATAAAAGTAGGGAAAAAAAAAATTGTGCTGAGCAGCAAAACCCTCCCCGTGTCTAGCCTGCGAGCAAGGTCTCTCACTGCCCCACCCCACCCAACCCTCCCCCAATCTCGGCAGCAAGAGACCTTGCTCGCAGGCTCGACCCACCCTTCCTTCCCTTCTCCCCTCCCTTCCCTTCCCCTCCCCCATCCCTCCGCCCCTACCTATCTACCTATCTACCTACCTATCTATCTATCTATCTACCTATCTATCTATCTATCTATCTATCTATCTATCTATCTATCTATCTATCTATCTATCTATCTATCTATCTATCTATCTATCTACCCCCTCCCGCCTGCCCCCTGTCCCCCCCCCTCCCCGGCCCGCCCCCGGGCCGGTGTACCAACTCCCGCTTCCCATACCCTTCCCAAGGCCTTTTTCTTCCCTCTCCTCGCCCCAAGCCCTCCCTGATGCAAGCTGCGCTTTTCTTCTGTTTTTTTTTCCTTTTTATGCTAATCAGGCGGGACTCGAACCCGTCACCTCTTTGTTTGCCAATTAATTACCAATTCAATGCTTATGCCAATTGCGCTATCCCGGCTCGGTTATAAATTCAATGGTTTTTTTTGTATGTTATTCATATGCAAATCAAATTCTTGCCCCTCATTGGCTGTTGAAAATAATGACATCATGAACCTTCGGCCCAGAGGTCCCTGAGGTCCCACAGGTCCAAGAACCAAAACAAACCAACGTTTACCAAACATAACGGAAACTGTAGCCTTCTCGGCTTTGCAAGAGCTTCTTTTCAATGGATTCTTGTATCTTTCTGGACGCTCGTACATTTAAAAAAGCACTTAGCGCTTTCACGTTTTTCCGACGGGCAATTTTGATTTTAGCTGTAAGTTTTGTATAATATTGAAATACTTGAAATGTCCGTCGGTGCGTTTGCTTTCAGTTGTGATCACAAGAAACAGTTTCTGTACGGTTAACAGTGATCAACATCAATTTACATTATATTCTCGCTATATATCCTACCACTGAACAGTATCAATCATAAACGGCTGAAAATAGAGGAAACTGCTCAGCAGCAAAAAACATTGTGATTTCTAATCAAATTCTCCTCGTTAGCACCAGATGAACGGTAACGGAATGAGTATGGAGAATGTGCATGTTAATCTCACGCCATTTACAATTATTCCTGTAACAAGCAAAATTGATCTTATAAATGAAAAACGCGAAGGTTATGTCGCTTTTAATAGATTTGGAGCCAGCAATATGACCCTTTGAAAACAAGAAACACTGCGTTCTTGTCTAACTAGGCAACTACAGTACCCTAGTCTGAATCTCGTACCCTTATAACTGCAATAGGAAATCTGCAAGTAGCACTGTAAATCATGCTAAACTGCTACCGATGCGACCGAAAACGTGTAATAGAATCATGAAATCAGCCTGAAAGATCAAAACAAGGTGATATCCTGCGTGTCCTACGGCAGGTGAAAGACGTTTTTTCCAGAATGAAATATACTTAAATCCTCTTATTTGAGACATCACAAGAGTCCCAGGGACATTTCCAGGAGGTCTCCATCAGTTTCGAACTTGACCCAAAAGTCACTTGACAAGATGAAAGAAACAAACATTGTTTGCCCGGCCTATTGACGTTTAGAAATTCCATCAGGTCGTGTTTCTTTGGCAGGCTTGGTTAATTCAAGCTATTTCCAATCCAGTCTTAAAATCAGGCTGTTAAATGTCGCCAAGGTCCACGACCAATAAAGAAAATTCTCCAACTTCAGACGAAGAGCAGTTTGGAACTTCATGGTCTGTTTATCCACTGCATTAAAGAAAAGGAAAGTACTATAAGTAGACTAACTCGCGAAGTTGAATGTGCGAAAAAGCGTCCTGTGGGTCTCAAAGTGTGGAGAAGTTGATACCAAGTAATTACAACTGTATAATTATAATTTTCGCTTGTTTCTTCGCACACGTCCTTTTTTTCCCGTTTTTTTCTTACGTGAATGCATCCTTTTCTAAAAGTGCCTATTTTGAGTCAAGAATTTCATAAAAGTAGGAAGAAAAAAAAATTGTGCTGAGCAGCAAAACCCTCCCCGTGTCTAGCCTGCGAGCAAGGTCTCTCACTGCCCCACCCCACCCAACCCTCCCCCCAATCTCGGCAGCAAGAGACCTTGCTCGCAGGCTCGACCCACCCTTCCCTTCTCCCCTCCCTTCCCTTCCCCCTCCCATCCCTCCGCCCTCTACCTATCTACCTATCTACCTACCACCCTCTTCCTACCCCTCTACCTATCTATCTATCTATCTATCTATCTATCTATCTATCTATCTATCTATCTATCTATCTATCTATCTATCTATCTATCTATCTATCTATCTATCTATCTACCCCCCTCCCGCCTGCCCCCCTGTCCCCGCCCTCCCCCGGCCCGCCCCCGGGCCGGTGTACCAACTCCCGCTTCCCATACCCTTCCCAAGGCCTTTTTTCTTCCCTCTCCTCGCCCCAAGCCCTCCCTGATGCAAGCTGCGCTTTTCTTCTGTTTTTTTTCTTTTTTATGCTAATCAGGCGGGACTCGAACCCGTCACCTCTTTGTTTGCCAATTAATTACCAATTCAATGCTTATGCCAATTGCGCTATCCCGGCTCGGTTATAAATTCAATGGTTTTTTTTGTATGTTATTCATATGCAAATCAAATTCTTGCCCCTCATTGGCTGTTGAAAATAATGACATCATGAACCTTCGGCCCAGAGGTCCCTGAGGTCCCACAGGTCCAAGAACCAAAACAAACCAACGTTTACCAAACATAACGGAAACTGTAGCCTTCTCGGCTTTGCAAGAGCTTCTTTTCAATGGATTCTTGTATCTTTCTGGACGCTCGTACATTTAAAAAAGCACTTAGCGCTTTCACGTTTTTCCGACGGGCAATTTTGATTTTAGCTGTAAGTTTTGTATAATATTGAAATACTTGAAATGTCCGTCGGTGCGTTTGCTTTCAGTTGTGATCACAAGAAACAGTTTCTGTACGGTTAACAGTGATCAACATCAATTTACATATATTCTCGCTATATATCCTACCACTGAACAGTATCAATCATAAACGGCTGAAAATAGAGGAAACTGCTCAGCAGCAAAAAACATTGTGATTTCTAATCAAATTCTCCTCGTTAGCACCAGATGAACGGTAACGGAATGAGTATGGAGAATGTGCATGTTAATCTCACGCCATTTACAATTATTCCTGTAACAAGCAAAATTGATCTTATAAATGAAAAACGCGAAGGTTATGTCGCTTTTAATAGATTTGGAGCCAGCAATATGACCCTTTGAAAACAAGAAACACTGCGTTCTTGTCTAACTAGGCAACTACAGTACCCTAGTCTGAATCTCGTACCCTTATAACTGCAATAGGAAATCTGCAAGTAGCACTGTAAATCATGCTAAACTGCTACCGATGCGACCGAAAACGTGTAATAGAATCATGAAATCAGCCTGAAAGATCAAAACAAGGTGATATCCTGCGTGTCCTACGGCAGGTGAAAGACGTTTTTTCCAGAATGAAATATACTTAAATCCTCTTATTTGAGACATCACAAGAGTCCCAGGGACATTTCCAGGAGGTCTCCATCAGTTTCGAACTTGACCCAAAAGTCACTTGACAAGATGAAAGAAACAAACATTGTTTGCCCGGCCTATTGACGTTTAGAAATTCCATCAGGTCGTGTTTCTTTGGCAGGCTTGGTTAATTCAAGCTATTTCCAATCCAGTCTTAAAATCAGGCTGTTAAATGTCGCCAAGGTCCACGACCAATAAAGAAAATTCTCCAACTTCAGACGAAGAGCAGTTTGGAACTTCATGGTCTGTTTATCCACTGCATTAAAGAAAAGGAAAGTACTATAAGTAGACTAACTCGCGAAGTTGAATGTGCGAAAAAGCGTCCTGTGGGTCTCAAAGTGTGGAGAAGTTGATACCAAGTAATTACAACTGTATAATTATAATTTTCGCTTGTTTCTTCGCACACGTCCTTTTTTTTCCCGTTTTTTCTTACGTGAATGCATCCTTTTCTAAAAGTGCCTATTTTGAGTCAAGAATTTCATAAAAGTAGGAAGAAAAAAAAATTGTGCTGAGCAGCAAAACCCTCCCCGTGTCTAGCCTGCGAGCAAGGTCTCTCACTGCCCCACCCCCCCCCACCCCCCCCCCAATCTCGGCAGCAAGAGACCTTGCTCGCAGGCTCGACCCACCCTTCCCTTCTCCCCTCCCTTCCCTTCCCCCTCCCATCCCTCCGCCCTCTACCTATCTACCTATCTACCTATCCTACCCCCTCTATCTATCTATCTATCTATCTATCTATCTATCTATCTATCTATCTATCTATCTATCTATCTATCTATCTATCTATCTATCTATCTATCTATCTATCTATCTATCTATCTATCTATCTATCTACCCCCTCCCGCCTGCCCCCTGTCCCCCCCCCCCCGGCCCGCCCCGGGCCGGTGTACCAACTCCCGCTTCCCATACCCTTCCCAAGGCCTTTTTCTTCCCTCTCCTCGCCCCAAGCCCTCCCTGATGCAAGCTGCGCTTTTCTTCTTTTTTTCCTTTTTATGCTAATCAGGCGGGACTCGAACCCGTCACCTCTTTGTTTGCCAATTAATTACCAATTCAATGCTTATGCCAATTGCGCTATCCCGGCTCGGTTATAAATTCAATGGTTTTTTTTTGTATGTTATTCATATGCAAATCAAATTCTTGCCCCTCATTGGCTGTTGAAAATAATGACATCATGAACCTTCGGCCCAGAGGTCCCTGAGGTCCCACAGGTCCAAGAACCAAAACAAACCAACGTTTACCAAACATAACGGAAACTGTAGCCTTCTCGGCTTTGCAAGAGCTTCTTTTCAATGGATTCTTGTATCTTTCTGGACGCTCGTACATTTAAAAAGCACTTAGCGCTTTCACGTTTTTCCGACGGGCAATTTTGATTTTAGCTGTAAGTTTTGTATAATATTGAAATACTTGAAATGTCCGTCGGTGCGTTTGCTTTCAGTTGTGATCACAAGAAACAGTTTCTGTACGGTTAACAGTGATCAACATCAATTTACATTATATTCTCGCTATATATCCTACCACTGAACAGTATCAATCATAAACGGCTGAAAATAGAGGAAACTGCTCAGCAGCAAAAAACATTGTGATTTCTAATCAAATTCTCCTCGTTAGCACCAGATGAACGGTAACGGAATGAGTATGGAGAATGTGCATGTTAATCTCACGCCATTTACAATTATTCCTGTAACAAGCAAAATTGATCTTATAAATGAAAAACGCGAAGGTTATGTCGCTTTTAATAGATTTGGAGCCAGCAATATGACCCTTTGAAAACAAGAAACACTGCGTTCTTGTCTAACTAGGCAACTACAGTACCCTAGTCTGAATCTCGTACCCTTATAACTGCAATAGGAAATCTGCAAGTAGCACTGTAAATCATGCTAAACTGCTACCGATGCGACCGAAAACGTGTAATAGAATCATGAAATCAGCCTGAAAGATCAAAACAAGGTGATATCCTGCGTGTCCTACGGCAGGTGAAAGACGTTTTTCCAGAATGAAATATACTTAAATCCTCTTATTTGAGACATCACAAGAGTCCCAGGGACATTTCAGGAGGTCTCCATCAGTTTCGAACTTGACCCAAAAGTCACTTGACAAGATGAAACAAACAAACATTGTTTGCCCGGCCTATTGACGTTTAGAAATTCCATCAGGTCGTGTTTCTTTGGCAGGCTTGGTTAATTCAAGCTATTTCCAATCCAGTCTTAAAATCAGGCTGTTAAATGTCGCCAAGGTCCACGACCAATAAAGAAAATTCTCCAACTTCAGACGAAGAGCAGTTTGGAACTTCATGGTCTGTTTATCCACTGCATTAAAGAAAAGGAAAGTACTATAAGTAGACTAACTCGCGAAGTTGAATGTGCGAAAAAAAGCGTCCTGTGGGTCTCAAAGTGTGGAGAAGTTGATACCAAGTAATTACAACTGTATAATTATAATTTTCGCTTGTTTCTTCGCACACGTCCTTTTTTTTTTTCCCGTTTTTTCTTACGTGAATGCATCCTTTTCTAAAAGTGCCTATTTTGAGTCAAGAATTTCATAAAAGTAGGAAGAAAAAAAAATTGTGCTGAGCAGCAAAACCCTCCCCGTGTCTAGCCTGCGAGCAAGGTCTCTCACTGCCCCACCCCACCCAACCCTCCCCCCAATCTCGGCAGCAAGAGACCTTGCTCGCAGGCTCGACCCACCCTTCCCTTCTCCCCTCCCTTCCCTTCCCCCTCCCATCCCTCCGCCCTCTACCTATCTACCTATCTACCTACCACCCTCTTCCTACCCCTCTACCTATCTATCTATCTATCTATCTATCTATCTATCTATCTATCTATCTATCTATCTATCTATCTATCTATCTATCTATCTATCTATCTATCTACCCCCCTCCCGCCTGCCCCCCTGTCCCCGCCCTCCCCCGGCCCGCCCCCGGGCCGGTGTACCAACTCCCGCTTCCCATACCCTTCCCAAGGCCTTTTTTCTTCCCTCTCCTTGCCCCAAGCCCTCCCTGATGCAAGCTGCGCTTTTCTTCTGTTTTTTTCCTTTTTATGCTAATCAGGCGGGACTCGAACCCGTCACCTCTTTGTTTGCCAATTAATTACCAATTCAATGCTTATGCCAATTGCGCTATCCCGGCTCGGTTATAAATTCAATGGTTTTTTTTGTATGTTATTCATATGCAAATCAAATTCTTGCCCCTCATTGGCTGTTGAAAATAATGACATCATGAACCTTCGGCCCAGAGGTCCCTGAGGTCCCACAGGTCCAAGAACCAAAACAAACCAACGTTTACCAAACATAACGGAAACTGTAGCCTTCTCGGCTTTGCAAGAGCTTCTTTTCAATGGATTCTTGTATCTTTCTGGACGCTCGTACATTTAAAAAAGCACTTAGCGCTTTCACGTTTTTCCGACGGGCAATTTTGATTTTAGCTGTAAGTTTTGTATAATATTGAAATACTTGAAATGTCCGTCGGTGCGTTTGCTTTCAGTTGTGATCACAAGAAACAGTTTCTGTACGGTTAACAGTGATCAACATCAATTTACATTATATTCTCGCTATATATCCTACCACTGAACAGTATCAATCATAAACGGCTGAAAATAGAGGAAACTGCTCAGCAGCAAAAAACATTGTGATTTCTAATCAAATTCTCCTCGTTAGCACCAGATGAACGGTAACGGAATGAGTATGGAGAATGTGCATGTTAATCTCACGCCATTTACAATTATTCCTGTAACAAGCAAAATTGATCTTATAAATGAAAAACGCGAAGGTTATGTCGCTTTTAATAGATTTGGAGCCAGCAATATGACCCTTTGAAAACAAGAAACACTGCGTTCTTGTCTAACTAGGCAACTACAGTACCCTAGTCTGAATCTCGTACCCTTATAACTGCAATAGGAAATCTGCAAGTAGCACTGTAAATCATGCTAAACTGCTACCGATGCGACCGAAAACGTGTAATAGAATCATGAAATCAGCCTGAAAGATCAAAACAAGGTGATATCCTGCGTGTCCTACGGCAGGTGAAAGACGTTTTTCCAGAATGAAATATACTTAAATCCTCTTATTTGAGACATCACAAGAGTCCCAGGGACATTTCCAGGAGGTCTCCATCAGTTTCGAACTTGACCCAAAAGTCACTTGACAAGATGAAACAAACAAACATTGTTTGCCCGGCCTATTGACGTTTAGAAATTCCATCAGGTCGTGTTTCTTTGGCAGGCTTGGTTAATTCAAGCTATTTCCAATCCAGTCTTAAAATCAGGCTGTTAAATGTCGCCAAGGTCCACGACCAATAAAGAAAATTCTCCAACTTCAGACGAAGAGCAGTTTGGAACTTCATGGTCTGTTTATCCACTGCATTAAAGAAAAGGAAAGTACTATAAGTAGACTAACTCGCGAAGTTGAATGTGCGAAAAAGCGTCCTGTGGGTCTCAAAGTGTGGAGAAGTTGATACCAAGTAATTACAACTGTATAATTATAATTTTCGCTTGTTTCTTCGCACACGTCCTTTTTTTCCCGTTTTTTTCTTACGTGAATGCATCCTTTTCTAAAAGTGCCTATTTTGAGTCAAGAATTTCATAAAAGTAGGAAGAAAAAAAAATTGTGCTGAGCAGCAAAACCCTCCCCGTGTCTAGCCTGCGAGCAAGGTCTCTCACTGCCCCACCCCACCCAACCCTCCCCCCAATCTCGGCAGCAAGAGACCTTGCTCGCAGGCTCGACCCACCCTTCCCTTCTCCCCTCCCTTCCCTTCCCCCTCCCATCCCTCCGCCCTCTACCTATCTACCTATCTACCTATCTATCTATCTATCTATCTATCTATCTATCTATCTATCTATCTATCTATCTATCTATCTACCCCCCTCCCGCCTGCCCCCCTGTCCCCGCCCTCCCCCGGCCCGCCCCCGGGCCGGTGTACCAACTCCCGCTTCCCATACCCTTCCCAAGGCCTTTTTTCTTCCCTCTCCTCGCCCCAAGCCCTCCCTGATGCAAGCTGCGCTTTTCTTCTGTTTTTTTCCTTTTTTATGCTAATCAGGCGGGACTCGAACCCGTCACCTCTTTGTTTGCCAATTAATTACCAATTCAATGCTTATGCCAATTGCGCTATCCCGGCTCGGTTATAAATTCAATGGTTTTTTTTTTGTATGTTATTCATATGCAAATCAAATTCTTGCCCCTCATTGGCTGTTGAAAATAATGACATCATGAACCTTCGGCCCAGAGGTCCCTGAGGTCCCACAGGTCCAAGAACCAAAACAAACCAACGTTTACCAAACATAACGGAAACTGTAGCCTTCTCGGCTTTGCAAGAGCTTCTTTTCAATGGATTCTTGTATCTTTCTGGACGCTCGTACATTTAAAAAAGCACTTAGCGCTTTCACGTTTTTCCGACGGGCAATTTTGATTTTAGCTGTAAGTTTTGTATAATATTGAAATACTTGAAATGTCCGTCGGTGCGTTTGCTTTCAGTTGTGATCACAAGAAACAGTTTCTGTACGGTTAACAGTGATCAACATCAATTTACATTATATTCTCGCTATATATCCTACCACTGAACAGTATCAATCATAAACGGCTGAAAATAGAGGAAACTGCTCAGCAGCAAAAAACATTGTGATTTCTAATCAAATTCTCCTCGTTAGCACCAGATGAACGGTAACGGAATGAGTATGGAGAATGTGCATGTTAATCTCACGCCATTTACAATTATTCCTGTAACAAGCAAAATTGATCTTATAAATGAAAAACGCGAAGGTTATGTCGCTTTTAATAGATTTGGAGCCAGCAATATGACCCTTTGAAAACAAGAAACACTGCGTTCTTGTCTAACTAGGCAACTACAGTACCCTAGTCTGAATCTCGTACCCTTATAACTGCAATAGGAAATCTGCAAGTAGCACTGTAAATCATGCTAAACTGCTACCGATGCGACCGAAAACGTGTAATAGAATCATGAAATCAGCCTGAAAGATCAAAACAAGGTGATATCCTGCGTGTCCTACGGCAGGTGAAAGACGTTTTTCCAGAATGAAATATACTTAAATCCTCTTATTTGAGACATCACAAGAGTCCCAGGGACATTTCCAGGAGGTCTCCATCAGTTTCGAACTTGACCCAAAAGTCACTTGACAAGATGAAACAAACAAACATTGTTTGCCCGGCCTATTGACGTTTAGAAATTCCATCAGGTCGTGTTTCTTTGGCAGGCTTGGTTAATTCAAGCTATTTCCAATCCAGTCTTAAAATCAGGCTGTTAAATGTCGCCAAGGTCCACGACCAATAAAGAAAATTCTCCAACTTCAGACGAAGAGCAGTTTGGAACTTCATGGTCTGTTTATCCACTGCATTAAAGAAAAGGAAAGTACTATAAGTAGACTAACTCGCGAAGTTGAATGTGCGAAAAAGCGTCCTGTGGGTCTCAAAGTGTGGAGAAGTTGATACCAAGTAATTACAACTGTATAATTATAATTTTCGCTTGTTTCTTCGCACACGTCCTTTTTTTCCCGTTTTTTTCTTACGTGAATGCATCCTTTTCTAAAAGTGCCTATTTTGAGTCAAGAATTTCATAAAAGTAGGAAGAAAAAAAAATTGTGCTGAGCAGCAAAACCCTCCCGTGTCTAGCCTGCGAGCAAGGTCTCTCACTGCCCCACCCCACCCAACCCTCCCCCCAATCTCGGCAGCAAGAGACCTTGCTCGCAGGCTCGACCCCCTTCCCTCCTCCCCTCCCTTCCCTTCCCCTCCCATCCCTCCGCCCTCTACCTATCTACCTATCTACCTACCACCCTATCCTACCCCTATCTATCCCTATCTATCTATCTATCTATCTATCTATCTATCTATCTATCTATCTATCTATCTATCTATCTATCTATCTATCTATCTATCTATCCCCCCCTCCTGCCTGCCCCTGTCCCCGCCCTCCCCGGCCCGCCCCGGGCCGGTGTACCAACTCCCGCTTCCCATACCCTTCCCAAGGCCTTTTTCTTCCCTCTCCTCCGCCCCAAGCCCTCCCTGATGCAAGCTGCGCTTTTCTTCTTTTTTTCCTTTTTATGCTAATCAGGCGGGACTCGAACCCGTCACCTCTTTGTTTGCCAATTAATTACCAATTCAATGCTTATGCCAATTGCGCTATCCCGGCTCGGTTATAAATTCAATGGTTTTTTTTTTGTATGTTATTCATATGCAAATCAAATTCTTGCCCCTCATTGGCTGTTGAAAATAATGACATCATGAACCTTCGGCCCAGAGGTCCCTGAGGTCCCACAGGTCCAAGAACCAAAACAAACCAACGTTTACCAAACATAACGGAAACTGTAGCCTTCTCGGCTTTGCAAGAGCTTCTTTTCAATGGATTCTTGTATCTTTCTGGACGCTCGTACATTTAAAAAGCACTTAGCGCTTTCACGTTTTTCCGACGGGCAATTTTGATTTTAGCTGTAAGTTTTGTATAATATTGAAATACTTGAAATGTCCGTCGGTGCGTTTGCTTTCAGTTGTGATCACAAGAAACAGTTTCTGTACGGTTAACAGTGATCAACATCAATTTACATTATATTCTCGCTATATATCCTACCACTGAACAGTATCAATCATAAACGGCTGAAAATAGAGGAAACTGCTCAGCAGCAAAAACATTGTGATTTCTAATCAAATTCTCCTCGTTAGCACCAGATGAACGGTAACGGAATGAGTATGGAGAATGTGCATGTTAATCTCACGCCATTTACAATTATTCCTGTAACAAGCAAAATTGATCTTATAAATGAAAAACGCGAAGGTTATGTCGCTTTTAATAGATTTGGAGCCAGCAATATGACCCTTTGAAAACAAGAAACACTGCGTTCTTGTCTAACTAGGCAACTACAGTACCCTAGTCTGAATCTCGTACCCTTATAACTGCAATAGGAAATCTGCAAGTAGCACTGTAAATCATGCTAAACTGCTACCGATGCGACCGAAAACGTGTAATAGAATCATGAAATCAGCCTGAAAGATCAAAACAAGGTGATATCCTGCGTGTCCTACGGCAGGTGAAAGACGTTTTTCCAGAATGAAATATACTTAAATCCTCTTATTTGAGACATCACAAGAGTCCCAGGGACATTTTCAGGAGGTCTCCATCAGTTTCGAACTTGACCCAAAAGTCACTTGACAAGATGAAACAAACAAACATTGTTTGCCCGGCCTATTGACGTTTAGAAATTCCATCAGGTCGTGTTTCTTTGGCAGGCTTGGTTAATTCAAGCTATTTCCAATCCAGTCTTAAAATCAGGCTGTTAAATGTCGCCAAGGTCCACGACCAATAAAGAAAATTCTCCAACTTCAGACGAAGAGCAGTTTGGAACTTCATGGTCTGTTTATCCACTGCATTAAAGAAAAGGAAAGTACTATAAGTAGACTAACTCGCGAAGTTGAATGTGCGAAAAAGCGTCCTGTGGGTCTCAAAGTGTGGAGAAGTTGATACCAAGTAATTACAACTGTATAATTATAATTTTCGCTTGTTTCTTCGCACACGTCCTTTTTTTCCCGTTTTTTTCTTACGTGAATGCATCCTTTTCTAAAAGTGCCTATTTTGAGTCAAGAATTTCATAAAAGTAGGAAAAAAAAAATTGTGCTGAGCAGCAAAACCTCCCCGTGTCTAGCCTGCGAGCAAGGTCTCTCACTGCCCCACCCCACCCAACCCTCCCCCAATCTCGGCAGCAAGAGACCTTGCTCGCAGGCTCGACCCACCCTTCCCTTCTCTCCCTCCCTTCCCTTCCCCTCCCATCCCTCCGCCCTCTACCTATCTACCTATCTACCTACCATCCTTCCTATCTACCTATCTATCTATCTATCTATCTATCTATCTATCTATCTATCTATCTATCTATCTATCTATCTATCTATCTATCTATCTATCTATCTATCTATCTATCTATCTACCCCCCTCCCGCCTGCCCCCCCGTCCCCCCCCCCCCCCGGCCCCCCCCCCGGCCGGTGTACCCACTCCCGCTTCCCATACCCTTCCCAAGGCCTTTTTTCTTCCCTCTCCTCGCCCCAAGCCCTCCCTGATGCAAGCTGCGCTTTTCTTCTGTTTTTTTCCTTTTTTATGCTAATCAGGCGGGACTCGAACCCGTCACCTCTTTGTTTGCCAATTAATTACCAATTCAATGCTTATGCCAATTGCGCTATCCCGGCTCGGTTATAAATTCAATGGTTTTTTTTGTATGTTATTCATATGCAAATCAAATTCTTGCCCCTCATTGGCTGTTGAAAATAATGACATCATGAACCTTCGGCCCAGAGGTCCCTGAGGTCCCACAGGTCCAAGAACCAAAACAAACCAACGTTTACCAAACATAACGGAAACTGTAGCCTTCTCGGCTTTGCAAGAGCTTCTTTTCAATGGATTCTTGTATCTTTCTGGACGCTCGTACATTTAAAAAAGCACTTAGCGCTTTCACGTTTTTCCGACGGGCAATTTTGATTTTAGCTGTAAGTTTTGTATAATATTGAAATACTTGAAATGTCCGTCGGTGCGTTTGCTTTCAGTTGTGATCACAAGAAACAGTTTCTGTACGGTTAACAGTGATCAACATCAATTTACATTATATTCTCGCTATATATCCTACCACTGAACAGTATCAATCATAAACGGCTGAAAATAGAGGAAACTGCTCAGCAGCAAAAAACATTGTGATTTCTAATCAAATTCTCCTCGTTAGCACCAGATGAACGGTAACGGAATGAGTATGGAGAATGTGCATGTTAATCTCACGCCATTTACAATTATTCCTGTAACAAGCAAAATTGATCTTATAAATGAAAAACGCGAAGGTTATGTCGCTTTTAATAGATTTGGAGCCAGCAATATGACCCTTTGAAAACAAGAAACACTGCGTTCTTGTCTAACTAGGCAACTACAGTACCCTAGTCTGAATCTCGTACCCTTATAACTGCAATAGGAAATCTGCAAGTAGCACTGTAAATCATGCTAAACTGCTACCGATGCGACCGAAAACGTGTAATAGAATCATGAAATCAGCCTGAAAGATCAAAACAAGGTGATATCCTGCGTGTCCTACGGCAGGTGAAAGACGTTTTTCCAGAATGAAATATACTTAAATCCTCTTATTTGAGACATCACAAGAGTCCCAGGGACATTTCCAGGAGGTCTCCATCAGTTTCGAACTTGACCCAAAAGTCACTTGACAAGATGAAACAAACAAACATTGTTTGCCCGGCCTATTGACGTTTAGAAATTCCATCAGGTCGTGTTTCTTTGGCAGGCTTGGTTAATTCAAGCTATTTCCAATCCAGTCTTAAAATCAGGCTGTTAAATGTCGCCAAGGTCCACGACCAATAAAGAAAATTCTCCAACTTCAGACGAAGAGCAGTTTGGAACTTCATGGTCTGTTTATCCACTGCATTAAAGAAAAGGAAAGTACTATAAGTAGACTAACTCGCGAAGTTGAATGTGCGAAAAAGCGTCCTGTGGGTCTCAAAGTGTGGAGAAGTTGATACCAAGTAATTACAACTGTATAATTATAATTTTCGCTTGTTTCTTCGCACACGTCCTTTTTTTCCCGTTTTTTCTTACGTGAATGCATCCTTTTCTAAAAGTGCCTATTTTGAGTCAAGAATTTCATAAAAGTAGGAAAAAAAAAATTGTGCTGAGCAGCAAAACCCTCCCCGTGTCTAGCCTGCGAGCAAGGTCTCTCACTGCCCCACCCCACCCAACCCTCCCCCAATCTCGGCAGCAAGAGACCTTGCTCGCAGGCTCGACCCACCCTTCCTCTTCCCCTCCCTTCCCTTCCCTCCCATCCCTCCGCCCCTACCTCCCTACCTATCTACCCCATCCCTCCCACCCCCCCTATCTATCTATCTATCTATCTATCTATCTATCTATCTATCTATCTATCTATCTATCTATCTATCTATCTATCTATCTATCTATCTATCTATCTATCTACCCCCCTCCCGCCTGCCCCCTGTCCCCGCCCTCCCCCGGCCCGCCCCCGGGCCGGTGTACCAACTCCCGCTTCCCATACCCTTCCCAAGGCCTTTTTTCTTCCCTCTCCTCGCCCCAAGCCCTCCCTGATGCAAGCTGCGCTTTTCTTCTGTTTTTTTCCTTTTTTATGCTAATCAGGCGGGACTCGAACCCGTCACCTCTTTGTTTGCCAATTAATTACCAATTCAATGCTTATGCCAATTGCGCTATCCCGGCTCGGTTATAAATTCAATGGTTTTTTTGTATGTTATTCATATGCAAATCAAATTCTTGCCCCTCATTGGCTGTTGAAAATAATGACATCATGAACCTTCGGCCCAGAGGTCCCTGAGGTCCCACAGGTCCAAGAACCAAAACAAACCAACGTTTACCAAACATAACGGAAACTGTAGCCTTCTCGGCTTTGCAAGAGCTTCTTTTCAATGGATTCTTGTATCTTTCTGGACGCTCGTACATTTAAAAAGCACTTAGCGCTTTCACGTTTTTCCGACGGGCAATTTTGATTTTAGCTGTAAGTTTTGTATAATATTGAAATACTTGAAATGTCCGTCGGTGCGTTTGCTTTCAGTTGTGATCACAAGAAACAGTTTCTGTACGGTTAACAGTGATCAACATCAATTTACATTATATTCTCGCTATATATCCTACCACTGAACAGTATCAATCATAAACGGCTGAAAATAGAGGAAACTGCTCAGCAGCAAAAACATTGTGATTTCTAATCAAATTCTCCTCGTTAGCACCAGATGAACGGTAACGGAATGAGTATGGAGAATGTGCATGTTAATCTCACGCCATTTACAATTATTCCTGTAACAAGCAAAATTGATCTTATAAATGAAAAACGCGAAGGTTATGTCGCTTTTAATAGATTTGGAGCCAGCAATATGACCCTTTGAAAACAAAAACACTGCGTTCTTGTCTAACTAGGCAACTACAGTACCCTAGTCTGAATCTCGTACCCTTATAACTGCAATAGGAAATCTGCAAGTAGCACTGTAAATCATGCTAAACTGCTACCGATGCGACCGAAAACGTGTAATAGAATCATGAAATCAGCCTGAAAGATCAAAACAAGGTGATATCCTGCGTGTCCTACGGCAGGTGAAAGACGTTTTTTCCAGAATGAAATATACTTAAATCCTCTTATTTGAGACATCACAAGAGTCCCAGGGACATTTCCAGGAGGTCTCCATCAGTTTCGAACTTGACCCAAAAGTCACTTGACAAGATGAAACAAACAAACATTGTTTGCCCGGCCTATTGACGTTTAGAAATTCCATCAGGTCGTGTTTCTTTGGCAGGCTTGGTTAATTCAAGCTATTTCCAATCCAGTCTTAAAATCAGGCTGTTAAATGTCGCCAAGGTCCACGACCAATAAAGAAAATTCTCCAACTTCAGACGAAGAGCAGTTTGGAACTTCATGGTCTGTTTATCCACTGCATTAAAGAAAAGGAAAGTACTATAAGTAGACTAACTCGCGAAGTTGAATGTGCGAAAAAGCGTCCTGTGGGTCTCAAAGTGTGGAGAAGTTGATACCAAGTAATTACAACTGTATAATTATAATTTTCGCTTGTTTCTTCGCACACGTCCTTTTTTTCCCGTTTTTTTCTTACGTGAATGCATCCTTTTCTAAAAGTGCCTATTTTGAGTCAAGAATTTCATAAAAGTAGGAAGAAAAAAAAATTGTGCTGAGCAGCAAAACCCTCCCCGTGTCTAGCCTGCGAGCAAGGTCTCTCACTGCCCCACCCCACCCAACCCTCCCCCCAATCTCGGCAGCAAGAGACCTTGCTCGCAGGCTCGACCCACCCTTCCCTTCTCCCCTCCCTTCCCTTCCCCCTCCCATCCCTCCGCCCTCTACCTATCTACCTATCTACCTATCTATCTATCTATCTATCTATCTATCTATCTATCTATCTATCTATCTATCTATCTATCTATCTATCTATCTATCTATCTATCTATCTATCTATCTATCTATCTACCCCCCTCCCGCCTGCCCCCCTGTCCCCGCCCTCCCCCGGCCCGCCCCCGGGCCGGTGTACCAACTCCCGCTTCCCATACCCTTCCCAAGGCCTTTTTTCTTCCCTCTCCTCGCCCCAAGCCCTCCCTGATGCAAGCTGCGCTTTTCTTCTGTTTTTTTCCTTTTTTATGCTAATCAGGCGGGACTCGAACCCGTCACCTCTTTGTTTGCCAATTAATTACCAATTCAATGGTTATGCCAATTGCGCTATCCCGGCTCGGTTATAAATTCAATGGTTTTTTTGTATGTTATTCATATGCAAATCAAATTCTTGCCCCTCATTGGCTGTTGAAAATAATGACATCATGAACCTTCGGCCCAGAGGTCCCTGAGGTCCCACAGGTCCAAGAACCAAAACAAACCAACGTTTACCAAACATAACGGAAACTGTAGCCTTCTCGGCTTTGCAAGAGCTTCTTTTCAATGGATTCTTGTATCTTTCTGGACGCTCGTACATTTAAAAAGCACTTAGCGCTTTCACGTTTTTCCGACGGGCAATTTTGATTTTAGCTGTAAGTTTTGTATAATATTGAAATACTTGAAATGTCCGTCGGTGCGTTTGCTTTCAGTTGTGATCACAAGAAACAGTTTCTGTACGGTTAACAGTGATCAACATCAATTTACATTATATTCTCGCTATATATCCTACCACTGAACAGTATCAATCATAAACGGCTGAAAATAGAGGAAACTGCTCAGCAGCAAAAAACATTGTGATTTCTAATCAAATTCTCCTCGTTAGCACCAGATGAACGGTAACGGAATGAGTATGGAGAATGTGCATGTTAATCTCACGCCATTTACAATTATTCCTGTAACAAGCAAAATTGATCTTATAAATGAAAAACGCGAAGGTTATGTCGCTTTTAATAGATTTGGAGCCAGCAATATGACCCTTTGAAAACAAGAAACACTGCGTTCTTGTCTAACTAGGCAACTACAGTACCCTAGTCTGAATCTCGTACCCTTATAACTGCAATAGGAAATCTGCAAGTAGCACTGTAAATCATGCTAAACTGCTACCGATGCGACCGAAAACGTGTAATAGAATCATGAAATCAGCCTGAAAGATCAAAACAAGGTGATATCCTGCGTGTCCTACGGCAGGTGAAAGACGTTTTTCCAGAATGAAATATACTTAAATCCTCTTATTTGAGACATCACAAGAGTCCCAGGGACATTTCCAGGAGGTCTCCATCAGTTTCGAACTTGACCCAAAAGTCACTTGACAAGATGAAACAAACAAACATTGTTTGCCCGGCCTATTGACGTTTAGAAATTCCATCAGGTCGTGTTTCTTTGGCAGGCTTGGTTAATTCAAGCTATTTCCAATCCAGTCTTAAAATCAGGCTGTTAAATGTCGCCAAGGTCCACGACCAATAAAGAAAATTCTCCAACTTCAGACGAAGAGCAGTTTGGAACTTCATGGTCTGTTTATCCACTGCATTAAAGAAAAGGAAAGTACTATAAGTAGACTAACTCGCGAAGTTGAATGTGCGAAAAAAGCGTCCTGTGGGTCTCAAAGTGTGGAGAAGTTGATACCAAGTAATTACAACTGTATAATTATAATTTTCGCTTGTTTCTTCGCACACGTCTTTTTTTCCCGTTTTTTTTCTTACGTGAATGCATCCTTTTCTAAAAGTGCCTATTTTGAGTCAAGAATTTCATAAAAGTAGGAAGAAAAAAAAAAAAATTGTGCTGAGCAGCAAAACCCTCCCCGTGTCTAGCCTGCGAGCAAGGTCTCTCACTGCCCCACCCCACCCAACCCTCCCCCAATCTCGGCAGCAAGAGACCTTGCTCGCAGGCTCGACCCACCCTTCCCTTCTCCCCTCCCTTCCCCTCCCCTCCCTCCCTATCTACCTATCTATCCTATCTACCTATCTACCCTATCTATCTATCTATCTATCTATCTATCTATCTATCTATCTATCTATCTATCTATCTATCTATCTATCTACCCCCCTCCCGCCTGCCCCCCTGTCCCCGCCCTCCCCCGGCCCGCCCCCGGGCCGGTGTACCAACTCCCGCTTCCCATACCCTTCCCAAGGCCTTTTTTCTTCCCTCTCCTCGCCCCAAGCCCTCCCTGATGCAAGCTGCGCTTTTCTTCTGTTTTTTTCCTTTTTTATGCTAATCAGGCGGGACTCGAACCCGTCACCTCTTTGTTTGCCAATTAATTACCAATTCAATGCTTATGCCAATTGCGCTATCCCGGCTCGGTTATAAATTCAATGGTTTTTTTTGTATGTTATTCATATGCAAATCAAATTCTTGCCCCTCATTGGCTGTTGAAAATAATGACATCATGAACCTTCGGCCCAGAGGTCCCTGAGGTCCCACAGGTCCAAGAACCAAAACAAACCAACGTTTACCAAACATAACGGAAACTGTAGCCTTCTCGGCTTTGCAAGAGCTTCTTTTCAATGGATTCTTGTATCTTTCTGGACGCTCGTACATTTAAAAAAGCACTTAGCGCTTTCACGTTTTTCCGACGGGCAATTTTGATTTTAGCTGTAAGTTTTGTATAATATTGAAATACTTGAAATGTCCGTCGGTGCGTTTGCTTTCAGTTGTGATCACAAGAAACAGTTTCTGTACGGTTAACAGTGATCAACATCAATTTACATTATATTCTCGCTATATATCCTACCACTGAACAGTATCAATCATAAACGGCTGAAAATAGAGGAAACTGCTCAGCAGCAAAAAACATTGTGATTTCTAATCAAATTCTCCTCGTTAGCACCAGATGAACGGTAACGGAATGAGTATGGAGAATGTGCATGTTAATCTCACGCCATTTACAATTATTCCTGTAACAAGCAAAATTGATCTTATAAATGAAAAACGCGAAGGTTATGTCGCTTTTAATAGATTTGGAGCCAGCAATATGACCCTTTGAAAACAAGAAACACTGCGTTCTTGTCTAACTAGGCAACTACAGTACCCTAGTCTGAATCTCGTACCCTTATAACTGCAATAGGAAATCTGCAAGTAGCACTGTAAATCATGCTAAACTGCTACCGATGCGACCGAAAACGTGTAATAGAATCATGAAATCAGCCTGAAAGATCAAAAAAGGTGATATCCTGCGTGTCCTACGGCAGGTGAAAGACGTTTTTCCAGAATGAAATATACTTAAATCCTCTTATTTGAGACATCACAAGAGTCCCAGGGACATTTCCAGGAGGTCTCCATCAGTTTCGAACTTGACCCAAAAGTCACTTGACAAGATGAAACAAACAAACATTGTTTGCCCGGCCTATTGACGTTTAGAAATTCCATCAGGTCGTGTTTCTTTGGCAGGCTTGGTTAATTCAAGCTATTTCCAATCCAGTCTTAAAATCAGGCTGTTAAATGTCGCCAAGGTCCACGACCAATAAAGAAAATTCTCCAACTTCAGACGAAGAGCAGTTTGGAACTTCATGGTCTGTTTATCCACTGCATTAAAGAAAAGGAAAGTACTATAAGTAGACTAACTCGCGAAGTTGAATGTGCGAAAAAAGCGTCCTGTGGGTCTCAAAGTGTGGAGAAGTTGATACCAAGTAATTACAACTGTATAATTATAATTTTCGCTTGTTTCTTCGCACACGTCCTTTTTTTTCCCGTTTTTTTTTACGTGAATGCATCCTTTTCTAAAAGTGCCTATTTTGAGTCAAGAATTTCATAAAAGTAGGGAAAAAAAAAATTGTGCTGAGCAGCAAAACCCTCCCCGTGTCTAGCCTGCGAGCAAGGTCTCTCACTGCCCCACCCCACCCAACCCTCCCCCAATCTCGGCAGCAAGAGACCTTGCTCGCAGGCTCGACCCACCCTTCCCTTCTCCCCTCCCTCCCTTCCCCTCCCATCCCTCCATCTACCCTATCTATCCCTATCTATTCCTATCTATCTATCTATCTATCTATCTATCTATCTATCTATCTATCTATCTATCTATCTATCTATCTATCTATCTATCTATCTATCTATCTATCTATCCCCCTCCCCCCCTCCCTGCCTGCCCCTGTCCCCGCCCTCCCCGGCCCGCCCCCGGGCCGGTGTACCAACTCCCGCTTCCCATACCCTTCCCAAGGCCTTTTTCTTCCCTCTCCTCGCCCCAAGCCCTCCCTGATGCAAGCTGCGCTTTTCTTCTGTTTTTTCCTTTTTATGCTAATCAGGCGGGACTCGAACCCGTCACCTCTTTGTTTGCCAATTAATTACCAATTCAATGCTTATGCCAATTGCGCTATCCCGGCTCGGTTATAAATTCAATGGTTTTTTTGTATGTTATTCATATGCAAATCAAATTCTTGCCCCTCATTGGCTGTTGAAAATAATGACATCATGAACCTTCGGCCCAGAGGTCCCTGAGGTCCCACAGGTCCAAGAACCAAAACAAACCAACGTTTACCAAACATAACGGAAACTGTAGCCTTCTCGGCTTTGCAAGAGCTTCTTTTCAATGGATTCTTGTATCTTTCTGGACGCTCGTACATTTAAAAAAGCACTTAGCGCTTTCACGTTTTTCCGACGGGCAATTTTGATTTTAGCTGTAAGTTTTGTATAATATTGAAATACTTGAAATGTCCGTCGGTGCGTTTGCTTTCAGTTGTGATCACAAGAAACAGTTTCTGTACGGTTAACAGTGATCAACATCAATTTACATTATATTCTCGCTATATATCCTACCACTGAACAGTATCAATCATAAACGGCTGAAAATAGAGGAAACTGCTCAGCAGCAAAAAACATTGTGATTTCTAATCAAATTCTCCTCGTTAGCACCAGATGAACGGTAACGGAATGAGTATGGAGAATGTGCATGTTAATCTCACGCCATTTACAATTATTCCTGTAACAAGCAAAATTGATCTTATAAATGAAAAACGCGAAGGTTATGTCGCTTTTAATAGATTTGGAGCCAGCAATATGACCCTTTGAAAACAAGAAACACTGCGTTCTTGTCTAACTAGGCAACTACAGTACCCTAGTCTGAATCTCGTACCCTTATAACTGCAATAGGAAATCTGCAAGTAGCACTGTAAATCATGCTAAACTGCTACCGATGCGACCGAAAACGTGTAATAGAATCATGAAATCAGCCTGAAAGATCAAAACAAGGTGATATCCTGCGTGTCCTACGGCAGGTGAAAGACGTTTTTCCAGAATGAAATATACTTAAATCCTCTTATTTGAGACATCACAAGAGTCCCAGGGACATTTCCAGGAGGTCTCCATCAGTTTCGAACTTGACCCAAAAGTCACTTGACAAGATGAAACAAACAAACATTGTTTGCCCGGCCTATTGACGTTTAGAAATTCCATCAGGTCGTGTTTCTTTGGCAGGCTTGGTTAATTCAAGCTATTTCCAATCCAGTCTTAAAATCAGGCTGTTAAATGTCGCCAAGGTCCACGACCAATAAAGAAAATTCTCCAACTTCAGACGAAGAGCAGTTTGGAACTTCATGGTCTGTTTATCCACTGCATTAAAGAAAAGGAAAGTACTATAAGTAGACTAACTCGCGAAGTTGAATGTGCGAAAAAGCGTCCTGTGGGTCTCAAAGTGTGGAGAAGTTGATACCAAGTAATTACAACTGTATAATTATAATTTTCGCTTCACATACGTCGTTTGCCGTTCTTTTCTTACGCTAACGCGTCCCTTTCTAAAAATACTTGTTGTATGTCGAGAACTTCATAAACGCAAGAGGACAAAATTTTTTGCTCATGTAATTCCTACTCATGAAAGTGATTCCAAAATCTTTTCCGTCTGAAACAAAGGCCAGGAAAGCACAAAAAAGTGATAAGAAAAGCAAAGGAAGAGGGGTGGAGAGAAAGCGAAGAGAAAAAGTCAAGACTGCTGTGTCACTTTTAAACCCAAAAACTATCTATCGAAATTTTGCTTTCTGCGCATGTGTAAAATTCACGAGCTAATGAATTGAACAAAAGGATCGCAGCTGTCATTGCGGCCTCTGAAAACGAGGTTAGGGCTGCGAAGTACATTACCTTCGTTGGGTTTTGCGGTAAATTTTCTCTTTTTAAACGAGAAAATGGCTCGACTGGCTTCAAAAGCCGATTTTCGGCGAAATTCCCAGGGGCGAATGGGTCAAGCAAGAAGAATGTGCATCTTGTTCTTAGGATTAATTCCTGCTCTGGGTATGATTTGAATAATCAAGAACGTACGCGAAAGTTTTGTCGCCTTAGATTTGTAGCCACTAATATGACCCGGAGATAAAAAGAAAGAAACGGTTTTTCGCTAACCAGGCAATGTCACTACGCGAGGATCTGGTAACTTAACTGCACTGGAAGATCTACAAGGACACTCGTTACAAAAGTGTGCCAAGGGGGCGACTGAAAAATGTAAGACAAATGATGATATAGGCTGGTCTTACGGTAGGAGTTTTAGGGCTAAGACGACATTCCCATAGCTTTTGAATCAGTTTGTCCAGCCTATTAACGGTTTGAAAATTCACCACCGTTTTCCCTTTGCAGGCAGGTGACTGTGAACTAAAACTACTATTAACAGAATCTTGCAGAATCTTATTAATTTACTACTACTACTACTGCTGCTGTTATTATTATTATTATTATTAGTAGTAGTAGTAGTAGTAATATTATTATTATTATTATCATTATTATATATTAATGTTATTATCTTCTTTAATGGAATACCATAGTACAACAGAATAGCTGAGTCCATTCCTTGAACCTAGGGTTGGAATGAGATAGAAGTCTGTTTGATGGAGAGTGCCTTTCGTGGGATGTGAGATGTTCCAAGTAGTGTGATCTTCTGTAGTTCATGCATTTTGATGTTACCCGGGATCTGTTGTACATATTTTCCCAACCCTTTCTTGATTAGTACCATGACCCCTATCACTCCCGGAATTGTTATAGCTTTTATCCCCCAAATTCTTTCAACTTTGATTTCAAGGTCTTTGTATTTTGAGAGTCTTTCAGTTACTTTAACTGAAGTGTTCTTTGCAGTGGGGATGGACATATCAATGAGCAGGCAGCTTTTTTCGTGTTTGTTCTTGATTACAATGTCTGGTCTTCGACCTTTATCTCAAGATCTGTTTGTATTGGCATTTGCCACAAGATTGTGATGTTGTCTTGTCACTGTTTGGGGCTCATGCTCATACCATTTCTCGTTTATGTCTATATTCATCTCTTTGCAGATGTTCCAGTGAAGGTATGAGCATGGCGGCTTTGTTGTGTCTGTGTAGGTATTCAGTTTTGGCCGGCTTAGGGCACCCTGTCACAATATGGTGAATAGTTTCCTGAAATTGACAGAAATTGTAGTTGGTCTTGATGGCCTGATCTTAGGCAGCAATAATAAAGCCATGCCCAGCTGTCTTCAGCCATTGGTTGGTCATTTGATGGTCCGGATCTTTTTCCTTTACTCTTTCTGGTATTGCCCACGCATTGGTTTATCTTATTGGTTTATCTTTTCATGCTTATTTTTGTTTCAATTGATCTTGGGCATGGCACCCTGCTTTCTGTCTAACTTTTCTGGCATAGACAGTTGGAGCTTCATTCTCAGGTGCCAGTGTTTCAAGGAGGTTGAAAATTGAAAATTGTAGCCTGGCTAGATACGGATACTTTTTCTTTGTTTTAATTTTTTCATGCTCTTTAGCAATCACGAGAAGAGGGTCATTTTTGGTGTCAAGGTAATTATCTCAGCCCATTGTAGCTGTTTTATAGGCCGTTTCCAATTGGATCAGGTCCCCACCACCCTCATTTCTGGGAAGGTACGTTATATCCATGTCAGCTTTTGGGTGGTGCATCCTTTGTAAGGTGAGTAATTTTCTTTATTTTCTCGTCTATTTGTCTAATCTCTTCCATTTCCAGGCAATGATGTTAGCTGTAAGCTGCAACTGGTATAGAAAGTGTGTTGATGGCTTACACTCCATTAAACACAGCTTCTGGATGGCTTACTAAGGTCCTCCTCAAAAACCAAGTCACTGTCGTGACCTTAGGTGTGTAATTATTATTATTATTATTATTATTATTATTATTATTATTATTATTATCATCATCATCAGCATTATCATAACAGCTGACTAGATTATAATTAAGATCCAGTCATATTATTGTCACACGATTGATGCTACTTTCATAATTTATGTATAATATTGTATCATACATGTCCCCCAAGCGTATGCAGACCAATTATAAATGCATTTATGCCAACTCTCATGGATTATAGTCAGGTGTCAGGATATGGCAAGAGAATTTTCCAGTCTCCCATATGGTTCAGTATACTTGCAGGAAAAAAAATTATACTTTTCAGCTTTTCATCAGTGCCTTAGCTGGGAATTTAGCCTTAATTTTCCAAAATGAAAAAAATGCTTTTGATTTTTAAATTTACTCTTTGGTTTCTGCTTCCAATTTTTGCAAGTATTACAGATCAGAATTATAATGTTATAATTTTTTAACCCATTTTGGTTCTCATATTTTTTGGTCTTCTTGCCCTTTATTCATAAATAATAAGGGCTAGAGGACAAAGGAAATAGAGAATCAACCTTGGTCAAAAAACGTTAACCTCAATATAATTTTGACCTATAATTTAACTTATGTCTACTGAAATGTGTGAATTATGGAGGAGATTGTTGGCCTGCCCTCAATGGAAGACCACCAGTACCGATAATGTCCTGAGCCACACCCAAAATATGATTTGGGAAAAGGATCAATTTTCATTAATTGGAATGGGGTGGTTTATATACAAGGAAAGAGGTGCATGTACTGGAAAAGAGACAGTCTCCACAGTCTTAGATCTTTAGAGGATAACATCTCTGGAAATGGAAGATGCAGTGGTAGAAATATCTGACAAGCATGTAATACATTTCAAGACAAAGGGGAATATTTTCAAAGTCCCTAAAGCATTCAATGACCTTAGTTTCATGATAAGTTCTTTTAGATCTTTCTCCAAAAACATCTGTAGACATGGCTGACTTACACTTTTTTTCCAATGGTTGCACTTTGTTTGGAGAGAGGATTCATAAAATAAAA